AAAAAAAAAAAAAATCTGCATCTCCCATCTATATAAAAAAAAGCCTTTATACTATAGAAACTGTAGACCTATAAGCTACTGACAAAAGCTTTTCTAACTGAGTGGAACCTGGTTGTGAAATTTGCCACTTGTTTGTATCTTAGATTCTGCAGCTGGATTTTTGCCCAACTAGACTTTTCATTTCTCTTGAGAAAGTGCATTCTGTATGATGCATCCATTTTGGTCAGGGAACAGAAGTTAAGTACCTAATCTTGAAATGCTGCCTTAACTCTCATACAGACATTTTCATTGATCTCAGGCAGCTTTTTAAAAGTAGTAGTATTATTTGTTATATGTCTTTTTTTCCAGTAGTGATTCTTGTTTATTTAGCTTTTAGATGTCACTAGGTTGATAAATTGGCAAACTTAATGTTAGGAAATTATGTTCTACTTTTGAGGAGAAAAATTAGTCTTTAAATTATTTTTCCTTGCCATCATCTATGAAATGAAGGATAATTAGATAACACATTTATGCTATTATTTTCTTATATATAGCATAAAAAGCTACTTCCCACAAACATTCCTCAACATACTGTTCCTCTAAATTGAACTCTATGTGGATAATTAAAAATAATAATCCAGAGGGCACTAAGTTTATGTTAGTGGTACTAAAATAAATAGGAAAAGGATGGTAACAATGGTTGCACAGCATGAAGATTGTAATCAGTCATATTAAAAAGTGTTGACTTGACAAATGTTTTGTTATATATATTTTTACCACAATAGCTAAATAAATGGAGCTCTGGTAGTGTAGCAGGTAAAGCATTTGGATACTAACCAAAAGATCAGCAGTTCAAACCTACAAGTTGCTCTGTGGAAGAAAGATGAGGTGACCTACCTCATAAAGATTTACAGCCTCAGAAACCCAGTGAGGTTTGCTGTGAATCAGAATAGACTCAGTGGCAGTGGGTTTGGTGTTTTTGGTTTTGGTTAACTACATAAAGGAGCTCTAGTAGCATAGTGCCTAAGGCACTTGACTGCTAACCAGAAGGCTGGCAGTTCAAACCCACCAGCCACTCCTCAGAAGGAAGATGGGGCAATCTATATCCGTAGTGATACTGCCTCGGAAACCCAAGGAGGGATCGCTATGAGTCGGGTCCGACTCAACAGCATGTAACAACAACAACATAAATAATCAATCAATCCTAAGATGTGTTCTCTAGGCCTATTGAATGACAACCGCAATGGCTGTGCCATAGAGCTTTCAGATAATTCTGATGCACATTAAAGTTTGAGAACCACTGCTCTAGTAGTTAGCATATTGTATTAAATTCATGCTCATTGTCTAGCTGTTCATATCAAATATTGTGCATTTGATAACATGCACAAATTATCACGCAAATAAAAAAATTTTGTATTTCCAAAGTGGCCACTGACTACAACTTTACTTTGCTTTTTTTTTCCCCCCCGTCTCCTCTCTCTGTATAGGCTATGTGGCTGATGTTACAGAATCATGAGCCAGAGGACTTTGTCATAGCCACTGGGGAAGTACACAGTGTCCGGGAATTTGTAGAGAAATCATTTCTGCACATTGGAAAAACGATTGTGTAAGTACAGCCAAGAGCTGATTTATGGTCATTCATCAGACATGTGAGGAGCTCTGCTGGTGCAGTGGTTAAGCACTCAGCTATTAACCAAAAGGTCAGTAGTTCAAATCCACCAGTCCACAGGAGAAAGATGTGACAGTCTGCTTCTGTGAAGAAACCCTGTGGGAGTAGTTTTACTCTGTCCTATATCTAACTGCTAACCAGAAAGCTGGAGGTTCAAACCCACCACTCACTCCTCGGAAGGAAGACTGGGCAATCTACTTCCGTAGTGATACCACCTTGGAAACCCAAGGAGGGGTTGCTATGAGTCGGATCTGACTTGACGGCAGTGAGTTTGGTTTATTTGGTTTATAGGGTCACTATGAGTTGGAATGGGAGCTCTGGTAGCATAGTGGCTAAGGCACTTGACTGCTCACCAGATGGCTGGCAGTTCAAACCCATCAGCCACTCCTCGGAAGGAAGGTTGGGCAATCCT